CCTGGTGGGCTGAGCTGGCCACACACACACACAATAAATAAATGTAATAAATAAAAATAAATAAATAAAAAAAAAGACCCAATCCAAACACAGACTTCTGAAATGGATACATACTTCTCAGATGAAGAAATACAAGCAGCAAAGAAATATATGAAATAATGTTCAATATCAATGGTCTTACAAGAGATGCAAGTTAAAACAATGCTGAGATTCCATCTCACCCTAGAAAGAATGGCTGTCTTTTAAGAAATCAACCAATAATAAAAGCTGGAGGGGCTGTCAGGAAAAGGAATTCTTCACTGTTGGTGAGAGTATAGACTGGGGCAACCACTGTTGGAGTCAGTATGGAGAGATTCCTCAAAAACACTTGGACTAAAAAACAAAACAAAACTTGGACTAGAGGTTCTATTGAACCTGCTATTCACCTTCTGGGTATCTTCCTAGAAGAATTAAAAACATTGTATCACAGTGATATATGTGTGCTCATGTTTACAGCAGTACAATTTGTAATATCGAGATCTTAGAAACAACCCAAATGCCCATCAACCCAGGAATAGATAAAGAAGATGTGGCCTTTTTAGACAATGGAGTACTACTCAGCTATAAAGGAGGATAGGGCTGGCCAGCTAGCTCAGTGAACTAAAGCATCTGCTTAGGCAGAGCACATCTGCCAGGGTTCAATCCCCAGTGTGCTGTGCTGGCGCTGCCCCTGGGACACGCTGAAACAGTGATTGAGACTGGGCATGGAGGTGCGTGCCGGTAATCCCAGTACTTGGGAGGCTGACAACAGGAGAATCACTATGAGTCCAATCTGATGTGTGTAGTGAGACCCTGTAGATCCTGTCCTAAATAACATTTTTTAAAAAAAAAGGATAAACGGGAGACTTTTATAGTCAAATGGATGCAACTTGAGATCATACTAACAAACCAGATGTGCATGTGTAAACATCGTATTGTTGCCAGTCAGAGCAGCACAAACCTTTAATCCCAGCACTCAGGAGGCTGAGGCAGAAGGATCATTGTAAATTTGAGACCAGCCTGGGCTTCAAAGTGAGCTCAAGGCCAGCCTGAGATGCATAGAGGGACCCTGTCTCAAAAGGACCAAAAAAGCACACACACACACACACACACACACACACACACACACACACACAAAATCCCCCATCATATTGTCTCCCTGGTGACAATATGATCCAAGAGAAATAAATCCAAATGTAGAATAGATATTGTAAAATGAGAAGAAACTTCAAGCGCAAAGAGAAACTGGGATCAGGGAATGGAGAAAAGGAAGGGAAAAGAAAATATATATTATATATATATGAAATAAGATAGTTATACTACTAATTTCTCTTAGTTCATTGAAAAGAAAGGCTTGTGCTAAAGTTGTGTGGAAAATTAAATGTGTAGGGTCAGTGAGATAGTTCAGCAAAATAAGTACCTGCTTAGTCAAGCGCAGAGACTGGGATTCGATCCCTGGCACCACATGCCATGCTGGCCCCGCCCCCAGGCATGCTGAGCTGGCCGCCAAGACCCAGTATGGTGGCGCATGCCTGTAATCTCAGCACTGGGGAGGATGAAATAGGAGGATCACTATGAATACAAGGTAGGTAGTGAGACCCTGTACTAACTGCATAAATACAAAAATAAATAAAAATGAAATGCCTCTATCTTGTATTCTAACTAACTAAAGATAATAATGCATAATGTATTAACCATTGTTACCCTCCTATCATCTGTTTTTTGGGGGTTAGAAAGAATTGAACTGAGGACCGTGTGCTTGCCAGGCAGGTGCTTGTGCCTATAAGCTATATCAGGGGCTGGGGAGATAGCTCAGTGGAATAAGTGCTGACTGGCAAGTGCAAGAGCCTGAGTTCAATCCCTAGCTCTGGAAAAAAAAAAAAAAAAGTCCTCCTGACATTTGGGCTGGGGAGATAGCTCAGTAGAATAAGCACTTGCCTGGCATAAGCTGTATCATCAGCTGAACCTCCTCTTCCTCCTCCTCCTCCTCCTCTTCCTCCTCTTCGTCTTTCTCTTCTTCTTCCTCCTCTTTCTCCTCCTCCTCCTTCTCTTTCTTTGTACCAGGAATCAAGTTCAGGACCTTGTACTTTCCAGGCAGGTGCTTCTGCACTGCACTATATCCCAGCCCTTTTCTTTGTTTGTTTTTGAGACACCGTCTCACTACATAATTCAGGCTGGGCTTCAGCTCACTATGTAGCCCAGGCTGGCTTCAAATTCACAGTGACCCTTCTACTATAGCATCCCAATTTCTGGGATTACAGGCATGCACTGCCACGCTCTGCTGAGTTGTGTCATATTGTATTTCCCCAGGACTGTGGATAGTGCTAGCTGCAATAAGGTATCTTAGTTACTTTTCTCTCATTCCTGAGACAAAATAATCAATTCCTAAAGTTAACGGTAGGGAAGATTTATTTAGCTCACAATTTTTAGAGGTTTCAGTCCATAACCATTCATGGCGAAGACAGCAAGAGCAACAAGAAAGCAAGACAAGCCTCCTTCTGTCTCTTATATTCAGTCTACCATTTCTGTAATCCCAGCACTCAGGAGGCTGAGGCAGGAGGATCACTGCAAGTTTGAGACCAGCCTAGGCTACAAAATGAGCTCAAGTCCAGTGTGAACTGCAAAGCAAGACCCTGTCTCAAAAAGG